TTTATTATTGTCTTAGAAACGATATTAGTTAGTTTTGTGGTGTTTGGAAAAGCAAAGAATATCTGTTGAGTTTTTAAAACGGACAACATGCGATTTGTCTGCTAATTATGTAACGCCAATTTTGACCTCAGTAGCACAGAAGTCGAGGGCTGTAAAATATTTTCATTACRGTAGCCCAAAAATATTATTGMAGTTTCTGAAAGAGGAATCATTGTAGTTTAGCGTGGATATAGTCTTATTGCCTCGGACATGTATCATATGTCGATTTTTGACGTTTAATTTGGGTTACATTTTTAACGGCAAAAATTTGCTGAAATTAGAAAATCTGTAAAATATTCTATTTATCGTCAATATTTCAAATTATCCTTCAGAAATGTTAAAAAGTATCTATTCTTTAAAGGTGTCGAAGTATTCTTTGCATTACTTTTAATCTGAATTTTTTATCGATTTTTTTTGTGATATGCAGTGGAACGGCTTTGTAATGGCGTCTCCTGCGTCGAAAACAGAAAATCGCGTATATCTCCCTGAAAAAAAATCTGACGAACTTTTTATTATTTTTCACATAAATAGTGCACTTATTAGGCCTACATTGTGGCAAAGTTTGAGAAATTTCGTTTTTTTTTATTTTGCACACCCCTGGTCGAAATTCTCAGACGACTCCTCGTAAGATCTGATGGGCATCAGATTTACGCCGAGACTACTAATAAAGTGGCTTTATCTCATTTGGATGATAAAAGAATTGTATTAGAAGATAAAATACATACAAATTCTATCGGCTATGTCGCATTTTCTGGAGGTAGTTGAGCATCCATCACCACCTATTCTTCTCGAACGAAATTTCTTTTCGGGCGCCTTCTGCTAAACAATATMACACCGGTTGATTCTGCGCAAGAACAGTTTTAACTACATCAAAAGTATCCAAAGACCAATTAGGATCAGTAGCTCTCTGGCTATTGCCGCCTTCATATTCACCAAGCTGATATAAATATCTAACTTTTACRCCAGCTGGCAATCTTTTTTCTTTTAATCCAACGGGTCTTTTATATGTTACATGTTTTTCATCAACATTATTTAACTTCATAGCTTCTAAAGGGGTTTTACCTGTAATTCTTTTAACGCCGCCGTTAATAGGGCAATCTTTTTACCCATTCGCGATTCCTATCAWCACTAATCATTTCCTTGGCATATTGATAGCTGAAAAGTTTTTCAGAAATTGTTTTATTAGCACGTTCAACTAAAGCTTGCGCTCTATGATTATTAGCTTCTGATCTTTGTATATTGTATATTATTTTAACCTCACCTTTGAATTCAGTGCCAGGATCAACTATAATAGTTTCTGGTTTTTTCAACTTACGAGAATATATTTTATCCAACGCTGCTGCAACCTCCGATGCGTATTTAGATGCTAATGGCTCAGCGTCTATGTATCTGCTGGCAACATCGACAACTACTAAAGCGTATTTATAGGTTTTCTTACCGACCCTATCGTGTGGTAAAAATAATAAATCAGCCTGATGAACCTGATTTACTTTTTCAATATTCCAATGCCATCTAGGAATATATTGCGGCCATGGGAGATATATTTGCCATGGGGCCTGTTTCTCAAGCCATTTTTTAGTTATTTCCTTATCCACGCCGGTAACGGTAGATAATTTATCTACAGCATGACCTTTCCAATATCCGTTTGTAGAATAATAGTTGTTTGAAAGCTTTTTATCGTTCATATATAATGAACGTATCAGAATTATTAGACATAAACAGACAGTCAAAAAAGCCGTTTGCCCTTAAAGCCGAAAGGACGTTACATCGCGTTACTTTCAATCCAAGCAGCGCTAGCCCAGGAGAAACACTCTATGTGCATTTGACGAAATTAAGTGAAAATATGATTTATGTGCCAGGCTCTGTGGGGCTTGTTTGCAACCTCACGTTAGGTATGGGCCAGGCTACAATCCCGGTCAAAAGGGTTGAGACAAAGTGATGAAAATAGTGTTTTTATATGTTTACTACTGAAARAAACCTAATTTAAATCCCCYTTCCCCCCTAAATCAATGTTGTGAGTCGTGAATTATCATTTGTGGTCTTTCATAAACTACATTCATTCAACTTTGTAATGAGGGGAGCGGGGAGTAGGAAATTGTAGACATTTAAAAGCAACCTCCCCAAATTTCATTAATTTTAGAGTCAAAAAATGGAATGTCTCAACATGTTTTGACCGGGATTGTATTTTGGGCATAAAACGTTTTTCATACTCGTGAGTTGTATATGTGTACATGAATGACTATAACAATATGAAGAATGCATTTTTTTAACATTCTAA